TTTTTTTGTTTTTTTTTGTCTCTTAGAATTGCAAGTGAATCATTCAAAAAGTCACAGTGTTTTGTTTTTTTGGGGTTTGTTACAGTGGGGGAAATAAGTATTTGAGCCCTTGCTGATTTTGCAGGTTTGCCCACTTACAAAGAATGCAACGATCTATAACTTTAATCATATGTACATTCTAACAGAAAATCACATCATATGAATTTATAAAAATTGATAACCATCTGATGAGGAAAAATAAGCATTTTTGTAAGTGGGCAAACCTGCAAAATCAGCAAGGGGTCAAATACTTATTTCCCCCACTGTATTTTTGTCTCTTAAGGTAAAAAACCCAAAGAAGCCTGGTGGGTTTCACGAGCATTGCAGCAAATGTTACAACATCCACTGTCAGACTTCGTGTCTGGTCATCCGCTGTGAGAAGAACTGTGGAGCTTTTTTCCACTCCTGTAAACAGGAGGAGCATCAACTATTGTGTCCTAATGAAACGACGCCATGTTTAAACGCAGAATACGGCTGTCCTCTAACTATGTCTCGCCATCAACTATCCAAACACCTGGAGTTTTGCCCGGCAAGCCTGGTCTGCTGTTTTCAGGAGTGGAACCGGTGGCCACACCCCGAATCCGACTTAAGCTTTTACAGAAATGTGTCTGAAAACATTCAGGAAAACGCCGAGGTCGACGTGGATGTTGCTATGGCTCTAAGGGATCAAACACGGCTATTCGAGGCCATAAAGATGAGGGATATATTCCCTGAGTTGATGGAAAAGCCTGATATTGAAGATGTTTCTGCTGGGGTCAATGGTTCAAGTTCAACTTTGGGTGTTTCCCGTTTTTCAGACTCAGAATTGATAGAAAACGGCTTTGCGAAGATGGAGCAAAATGAACAAAGTCAAGATGTTTCTGAGGATGTTTCTGCTGGGATCAGTGGTTCAACGTTGGGTGTTTCCCATTCCTCAGACTGCTCTGAATTGATAGAAAACGGCTTTGCAAAGATGCAGCAAAATGAACAGAGTCAAGAGGAAATAGACGCTTTGGTAAAAAGCCGAGATATGGAAGGCATATCTCGGCCTTCCGAGATATGTGAAATATTCCCAAAACTGATGGAGGAGGAAGTTTCTGGTTCAACGGTGGGTGTTTCCCGTGAATTGATAGAAAATGACTTTGCAAAGATGGAGCAAAATGAACAGAGTCAAGAGGAAATAGACGCTTTGGTGACGAGCAAAGATATGGAACGCATTCAAAAATACAGCAACTGGGAGAAAATATTCAGAAAGGAGAAAATGGGCTGCAATCAAACTGTCAAAAACCTGAATAACGAAGGAGGAGTTGAACAAAATGAGCTGCAAACGTTAGCAGCGAGTAAAGAAGAGAATAGAGACTTCAAACAGGAAGGAGAGATCTCGGCTAATGCTAATACTAATGCTAATGCTAATGCTAATGCCCGAAACGAGGGGGGGGCGACCGGTCTGGCCCCATGGCAGGACGGGGTTCTGGAAAGGTTGGGAAAGGAATTCAACAT